GATGAACTCATTTCAAGATTGAAAAGCAAATTAAATCCTATTGCTAGGTGCCGTTGAGGTTGACACCTAGCGACCCAATGAACAGGTCTGAACCCTGTCCTGTTCTGTGCCCTCCTCCCAATCTCTGATATACCTGAGCCCTTTCCTGCAGTCACCGTATCAATCCACCTGGGTGAGGGTCTTCCTCTCCCTTGTTGACATTCTACCTTTGCAGAGAGTAGACGACCCTGTCCAAGGAATGGCCTCTCCTAGCAACAATGCCCATAGTGAGTGAGACAAAGCTTTATCATCTGTGCCTCCAAAGAACACTCGGGCTTCACCTTCTCCAAGACTTACCTGTTTGTTCTGTTGGCAGTCCATGGGATATTCAGTATTATTCTCCACCACCACAGCTCAAAGGCATCAATCAACTCTCCTGCCATCCTTATTCATTGTCCAGCTCTCAGAAGCATAGAGTAAATCATTTTACATCATCATCTTAAGTGTGTCTGAAAAGCTGGGCATTATGTAAGTTACTTCTTTACTGTTGTCAGGTACCCTCACATCTGTTCTGACTCACCCCAAACTCCTGTAATAGGACAGAACTAGCCTGAAAAGGTTTTCTGGCAGTCTTCTCTACGGAATAGCCAGGTCTTGCTCCCAAGAAGCTTCCGGACAGGTTAAAACACAGACCTTCCTGTTATCAACTGTGTTTAACCATTGTGCCACCCACCCACCCAAACCCTATGGCCTAGAGCCAAGTCCTACTGTAGCACCCGTCCAAAGCGTTTCAAAGATTGTCAATCTTTATGGGAGACTGACACTCCCCCCACCCCCAGTTCCATTTATTTTACTGCTGTTGAATGGGTTTTGACTCCTTAGGGTGACCTCAACTGGGTTTTCCAGGCTGCAAGACACAAGAAGAGATGGCATAGCTTCCTACCTTAGGATGTCTGGTAGATTTGAACAGCCAATCTCACAGCCCCTGGGCTGGCAATATGCACCCCTAAGGTCCCTCCAGACCTCCCATTGTCTTCACAGTTGGGTATTATCAAGCTGACTGCAACTCACAGTGGCTTATGAACAATAGATCTGAGCCCTGCCCTATCTCTGATGTGCTCAAGCCCACTGTTACATACAGTGCCAGTCCACCCAGGAGTCTTCCTCTCCTTCCCTGATCCTTGCCTATCCCAGCATGATGTCCTTCTTCCAGGACTGACCCCTGCTGACAACAGGGCCAAAATAAGGCAGATGACATTTCAGCATCCTTGCCTGTAAGGAGCGCCCTGGTTGCACTCCCTCCAGGACAGACTTGTTTGTTCTTTTGGCAGCCCATTCAGCACTGGACACTATCAACTCACAGTGTAACCTGATCGGTCTGCACAGGGCACGGGAAGGGACTTGTATGCACAAATAGTGATTCCATTTTCAGTTGCATTGTTCTACACTGAGAGCAGAGGTACATGACGCTCACCAATTGTGTCATAGTCTACATTTCTCTAGAATACTGAAACAATTCCAAATGTCTTAAGAAATTTCCATTTCAAATCCAGGCACACCTGTTTTCTTCCAAAACTGCTGTTAAAAAGGCAATCTCAGCTTGTTTACAAAGTTTCCATCATGTCAGAAATACATTTCCAAGTTGATGTCTGTAGACCTCTCGAACCTCACTCTAGAAACAATCACCTCATTAAATCCATATGTCTGGGTGCCACCGACGCCCATAACTCAAGCCAGTTAGTGTGGCACTGTTTAGCCTCTTTTTATAAATAATGATAGTGCCATTTCTGGAGAGTCCAAGGTGTGATTATCCAGCAGTTGCCAACATGTGTAGGATCAAGACACTTTCGGTTGGGCAACTGGATTGTGACTTTGTGACAAAGCTGTTTCCTGTCCAATATGCCCATAATCTCCCCCCACCCCCATCTATCTGTGCTCATCACACGGCCTTTTGTTGTTCTGTGTCCTTGAGTTTTGTACCCCTCACAGGGACCCTGTGAACAACAGATCCGAACCTCGCCTTTTCCTGAACCACCCTCACCGGCTCAGATGTGCCCGAGCCCGCGGGTACAGTCACCGTATGAAGCCATCTCATGAGTCTGCCTCCCTTTCTCTGACCATCCACTTTTTCCACCATAATGTCTCTCTTTAAGGCCTGGTCCTTCCTGACAACATGCCCAAAGGAAGTGAGATGAAGTTTCAGCATCCTTGCCTCCAAGGACCACTCTGGCTGCAACTCCTTCAACACGGACTGGTTTGTTCTTTTAGCAGGTCCTGGGATGTTCAATACTCTTCTCCAACATGGTAATTCAAGGGCTTCGATTCTTCTTCTATCATCCTTATTCAGTCTCCAACTTTCAGATGCATCAGAAGCAAGAGAAAAGACCATGGCTTGCACCTGGCAACCCTTAGTCTTTGAAATGACATCTTTAGCACTTTGGAGAGGTCTCTGACAGCCGGTTTCCCCAAAGCAACATGTCTTCTGATTTCTGGCCCATGGGTGTTCATGGTGGATCCGAACATCAAGAAATCCTTGACAACTTTACTCTTTTATCCATCTATCATGCTGCCTATTGGCCCAGCAGCTAGGATTTTTCTTTCCTTGCGATTGAGATGTAATCCACACTGAAAGCTAGTCTTTGATCTTGTGCAGTAAGCGCCTCACATCTTCACTTTGTGCAAGCAAGGCTGTGTCTCCTGCGTAACGCAGGCTGTTGACATTGCCAGTGTGTATGAACGAGTATTTCCTTTAGGGGAATATGTACTTGTATATTCTGTATATGCCAGGCAGAGTTCTGGTGGCCTAACGGGTAAGGAGTCACACTGCAGACCACAGGTGTTTGCTTTCAATCCATCAGCTGCTCCACAGGAGAGAGATGGTCAATCTCCTCCCGTAAAACTTACAGCCTCCAAAAAGATACAGGCGCACCAGCCACAAGTGGGTTCTGACCTGACAGCACTTATTACCAACCAGTCCTTTAAGGAGCACTGCCGACATCCTGTGTAACACTGGGCTGTTAACTGCAAAGTAGACAGTTCAAATCCACTAGCTTATCTGAGGGAGAAAGATGGGCAGCCTCCTCCCATAGGGATTTACAGCCTCAGAAGGCAGATGGAGGGGCAGTGAGACTGGGAACCACGTCAGGGACAGCAGGTCATCCTGCCACTTAAATGACAGAGTCAGGGAGTTAGTTGTAGGGGGCACAGATAATGATGAACTAGTAGCCGAGAGGTTGGCAGTTCAAAGCCACCCACGCGTGCCTTGGTAGACAGTCCCGCGGTGGGGCGTCCACAGCCCAGACCCCAGGAAGCCTGTGTGGAAAAGCAGACACAGATCCACTGTGGGCTGCACGTCCACTCGGGCAATGGTGTCCACGGCAGCATGGACACACGGGCAGCCCTCACGCACAGAAACCTGCCACGGCGATCAACACAGCAGAGAGCTCACGGCACAGAGACAAGTATTTTATTATTATCCTTAGTAAAGCTACTTAAAAATAACTTTCATATAGGAATATTTTCTGTATATTTGATAAATGTATGTAAATAGAAGACATTTTTAAATCTCTCTCTTCACATATATGGATCTCTTAATTAACGTACGTGCTGTTGCTGTGTGCAATCCGGATCGGAACTGACTCCCAGCTGACTCTCCGGTGGGTTTTCAGAGGCTCTAGATCGTATGCATGGAGGGGACTGTCCATCTTCCTCTCGCTCAGTACCTGGTGGATTCGAACCAGGTACCTTCAGATTGGTAGTGCACCTCCTCGCCACGAGGCCACATCTTCTTTTTCCAACTGTGTATATATATTTGAATACATCATTTGGTTCGTGTGACCTTAATGCCAGACCACAAGGATGACAAAGTAGCACTACTTCGCGGGTTTCCTGTGAAGTCTTCCCGGGGGCTGACCAACCCCCTGCCCCCCAGGCCTCTCCCCGAAGTCACCATGGCTTCATGATACCAGTTATCAGCTGAGCCCTAACTGCTGTGTCCCCAGGCTCCCTGTGGTCCGCAGTGGGGCTGGCGGGTCCCCGAGGTGGGAAGGGTGGCAGAGTGCGGCTTCTCAGCTGGTTAAACCACACTCCTGTTCCTCCAGGTGGGTGCACTCTGACTTTCCTTCTGTCCCTTCTCGGTGAACACACCCTTTTCCTTCCGGTCTGCTGTTGACCAGACACAGGGAGGTGGCTGCAAGCTGGGTGACCGCCGGACGTTGGCCTCATGGTCCAGCACGATTCCTGACCAAGCTGGGCCACTGTGGCCATGTCTGCATCCTTGTCACGGGGCCTGGAAGGGGAGGTGGTCCTCCTTAGGGCTTGGACCTTAAGACATGAAAACAGAAGACTCTTGGCGGTGTGGCCACCACTACATGTGAGATGTCACAGGGGAGTCAGAGGTCATGAAGATGGTCTGCAGACAGGACAAGCAGGGGACAGAGAGCACATGCCGGGATGCTGCCATCTCGCTGCCCGCACCCTCCTGCCCTCTCCAGCAACGATTCAATGATCCTGGCTTCAGTGTGATGCCTCAGCTGAGGGCCTGAGAAGCAGGGAAGGCAAAGCAGTAAACTAAGGAGGCAGCGAAACCAAGAGGCTCTGTCCTCCCGTCCCTCTCTCTGCCCCTTCCCAGGGATGCCTGGCCTGAGTGGTTCACAGTGTCACGCTCTCTGCAGACAGACGTGGACCATGGAGAAGCCTGAAAGGGCACAGACTCCGCTCAGAACCTCTGCGCAAGAGACTGACGCGCTGGCCCTCCACGTGGGCACCACCCCCCAACCCAGCATCAGGCCAGGAGGGTCCACAGACAGGGCCACTGTGGAGAAACAATGTCACTTCCCAAAGAAAAGTGCCGGGAGCCATCCAAGGGACCCTCTGCAGCTCCAGTGCCAAAGGCCTTTAATTCACATCTAAGCGGAGAGCCCATCTCTCCATACTTGTAATACGTAAATTATACTGCATTGTCCATACACAGCGTGGATGAATCTTCAGCAGGTGCGTGGCAGGGCGTGCGGGCTGCGTGCTCAGCGTCTGGGGACAGAGGTGAATATCCGCAGGCCGTGCATCCCTTTGATCTCTTCCTTCAGGGCCTGTGTGGGCAGAGAATGATGACAGTGAGGGCGCCTCAATGAGCCTCTGCAGGTGCTTTCGGCGGCGGCCGGCCTGCAAGGGCCTGGCATGGGGAGGCTTAAATGGGCCACCTCCCCACCGCCTTTCATGGAAAACAATTAGACATTTCCACATCTCATGTTTTCCACAGTCAAAAGGAAGCAAAAGACGAGCTGGGAGGCACGACTCCGGCCTGCAGCCAGCACCACGGACGCGTGAGACAGCCACTCACAGCCTCCACACACAGGAAGCTGGGCCCTGGCCCCCGGCTGCTGCAGTTCAAACCCCAGGGCAGACCTGTCTCGCTGGTGGACCATGTGCCTGTTCCCTGGCAGTGCGGGGGTCTGGGAAAGGGCATGTCCTCCGATCCTACAGTGAGAGGAGGGCTCTGCCTCCCACCAGGATGCAGCATGGGGGATCCTCTGACACAGCGGCAGGAGATGCCCTCCACCCACTTTCCAGAGAGGAACTGTGCTTGGTTGCTTGTGTCTTTTCTCAAGGACTTTACAAAACAATGCATATTTAACATGAGTATCTACGTCGTCAGCCATTACCACTGTGAAAACACAATCATTTTACACCTGCTGGGGACAGACCTCTGGTGACCTAGTGGTAAGACGCTGTGCTGCTGGTCTACCCTGGGCTTCTCCCCGAAAGCCCTGCTCTCAGCTCTTCTTCCAGTCTGCCAGCGCTCTCGGCCTGCGGATGGATCCTTTCCACTCAAGGGCGTCCCCTGCTGGGCTGCCAGCCTGAACTTGGTCTCTGTCACTTACAGCAGCAGAAACCCAAACCCGCGTGCTTGGCTTTCCTGAGCGGAGGACCTGCTCCCACCTCCTTATTAATGAACTGAAGTAGAGTGATCACTCCCTGTTGCCGTCAGCACGCGTCACACAGGCAGGTCGGGAGCCCAGGAGTCCTGACAGGGCGGCTGGCCACATGCAAATTTTCAGCCCATTCGTCCATCCTCCCGTGCCAGGCGTGCTGCTGTGCTGAGCCAGTGAGATGCCCCACAACCTTCACCCTCTCCACGCTAACACAAGCCTCCCCCACCCCCCCAGGCCCTGGGCCATGTGCCTTCTTCTGCTCACTGGGGGCACCAAGCACTTCCTGCTGTCCTCTTGACCCAAGCCCTCCCCCCTCCTGGGGCACCTAGCAGTCCTGCTGTCCCTCTGACCCAAGGCTACCTCTTCCCTCCTTAAAGCCTCTCCAGCTAAGAGAGGGCACGACCCTACACTCACAGGAAAGGTCTCAGGACACAGAAACTTTGTAGGCCTTTCCCAGTGCTGCGCCCCAGCCCTGCACAGCTTGCTGAGGGCCCCAACACACAGCACAGAGTGTGAAAGCTACAGAGGGTCTTTGTGGCCCCTCAGGTCACTGTTCCATTGAGGGAAATGAAGTCCATCCAGTTCTGTAGGGAACTGTGTCGATAACCCAACGGTGGAGCCTCTGTGGTGGTTCGAATCCACCAGATGCTGTCAGAGAAAGATGGACACTCTCCTCCCCTGCGATCTACAGCCTCTGAAACTGTGCTGGAGGGTCAGCTCAGAGTGGCCTCTGACCCTGTGGCGGAGTGAGTCAGAGCAGCCTGGGGCCGTGGTGAGCACCTGCTATGCTCAGTGCTAAGTGGTGCTGGGAGAGCGGGCGGATAGGGAGGGCACCGTCAGATCCCGAGTCAGCTGCAGGTCAGGAGAGGAACCATCTGCTCCCACGCTGGGCTGGGGCAGAGGGGAGATGGCCCCAGAACTGAGGTCAGAGGCAGGCAGGGCTGGGCACCATCAGACCTGGAGCTTGAGAGGTCATCGGAGGGACCATCCACTCCTGCACAAAGCCGAGGGCCAGGCTGGGGAAGGTGGTCTTAGAGCTGGGGTCACGGGGGCAGACAGGGACAAGCACCGAGATTCCCTGTGGCCATCAGAGGTACTGACCACTTGAGCACAGGCCTGAGGGTCATGAGGGGAGGCGGCCCTGGAGGTGGGGTCAGAGGGGTGGGCAGGGACAATCATTGAGCTAGCCTGCGACCATCAGAGACACTGACCACTTGTGCACTGGCCTGGGGGTCATGAGGGGTGGCAGCCCTAGAGGTGGGCAGCTGGACAGGGAAAAGCACGGGCCAGGAGCCAACAGGACAAGAGCATGTGTGTGGTGTGGAGCTGGGGAGGCCGAGGCTGACCAGGGCAGGGCTCTGCTGTGCTGGACATAGGGTCCCCATGAGTTGACCAGGGCAGGGCTCTGCTGTGCTGGACACAGGGTCCCCATGAGCTGACCAGGGCAGGGCTTTGCTGTGCTGGACACAGTGTCACGATAAGCTGACCAGGCCAGGGCTCTGCTGTGCTGGACACAGTGTCACGATAAGCTGACCAGGCCAGGGCTCTGCTGTGCTGGACACAGGGTCCCCATGAGCTGGAGCCAACACAACAGCACCTGCAATGGGCCCTCACCTGCCCCTCCGGAGCGGTCACTGCCTTGTGAAAGGGCAGAACTGACCCAGCACACAGAGGGAAGGCAGGGCCCAGGAGAGGACTGTCCACAGGCAAGTGAGCACCAAGGGTCACTGGCAGGCACCTCGAACTAGGAGAAAGGCCCCCCACCCGAGCCAGCACCCTGATTAAACTTTCGGTCTCCAGGCAAAAAGCCAAACTCAAGCTCAAAGCTGTCCAGTGAGATCTGGACTCAGAGCTGACCATCCAGTGGGTTTTCAGAGGCTGTAAACAGCCCGGGAGGGCACTGTCCACTTTTCTTCAGATAAGCTGCTGGGAGATTTGAACCGTCTCCCTTTGGGTTACCAGTGCAGCTCCCGACAGCTCACAAGCCACCAGCTGCAGTATTTCCGTCACGACGGCTCTAGGGACGTCACAGGGCGTGATGCTGACACGCTGGCGTAGAGAGTCCCATCCAGGGCCTGCACCGACCTGGTTCACCATCTGGTGCTGCTGCACCGTTCTCTTCTCCTTGAAGTCGTCTGACTCGATGTGGATCTCATACATCGCCCCACAGCCTCCTGAAACACACACGGCAGGAGTGGTTCAGTTACGTCACACCGTGCTCCACATGGTACCCGAGGGACCTGCAGAGGCCGGAGGGGTCCCGTCACTCGGCCCAAGAGGCGCCACCATCGGCAAGAGAGACGGTTGCCTATGATCTAACTGTGCTCCCCCCCACAGCTCCCGCTGCTTGTCTGTGCACGGCAACGCCACCCAGGACCATCCCCGGGTAGGACTGTCGAGGCACCGTGCACCAGGACCGGGCCTCCCTCACGAGGCCAACAAACGTGATGGGAGATGGCAGGGAAGTTGAGGGTCCCGCCTGCACCAGCAGCAAGCACTTTCAAAGTGCACAATGACACCAGCACGGTGTCCGTCAGTCCCCAGGGAGGGGCGTGTGAGTGAGACAGGACACAGCACTGCAGGGAACGCCAGGCCGGGCTGACGGGGCACATCCTGAGGCTCTCTCTCCAGCCCCCTCTCCTGGTGGAGAAAAGCAGAACGGCGGCCAGGGGTCAGCTCTGATGCAGCTGCTGGGTGTTGGGGGGGCCCAGGGGCAGATTTTATTTTTAAAGTTTGAATGCCAGGCCCTTCCTGTGAGGCGCCCCTGGGTGGACCTGAACCAGCAACCTCTGGGTTAGCAGCAATGTGAACATTCATGCCTCATAGTGGCTCCTGGTCTGTGAAGCAGCCTTCCAAAGGCACAGGGTCTATGAAGAGCACAGGTGGTTCTAAAGGCAGGGCACATGGGGTCCCATCCACACCCCAGGCTTCGTCCCCACACAGCTGAAGGATGAATGTTGAGTCAGCACAGAGCAGCCTGGGCAACCAGGTGAATCCCCCCACTCTGTTAAGTAGGCTCTGGGGGTGCAGTGGTTTCTGGGGTGAGTGAACTCTGGGGGTGCAGTGGGTTCTGGGGGGCCGAGCTGCCATCACACCAGCCTTGCACCCTTGACTCTCCCCTGTGCTCCTTTTACACTGAGGTCAAGTTCCGACTCTGCACTGGGCCTGGCAGCTGAAGGACGGGTGGCATCAAGGCCTCGCCATCCCTGAACCCCCTCACCTGACCAACCGTTCCAAAGTCTGTGTCTCATTCATTTTCTGGCGTGCCCAGATGAAAGCTTTCCCTCCAATCTCGTCCCAGGTCCCCAGGAAGGCTCCGCCCTCGGGCTGGTCAGTGAGCAGTGGGGTACAGGCCAAGTCAGCAGGGAGACACAGGCTGACCCCTATCGAGCCGCCCCACACAAGCTGCTCGGCCTGCGTCTCTAGATAAGGCCCTATCTTCCTCGCCCGGTGAGTGTGCCTAACCGGCCCGGCCCGAAAATACGAGGTGCCAGCAGCCACCCGGGCAGCCAGGCGTGGCTGGGATCAAGATTGAGTCCACTCCAGGCCCTGGGTCTACTTCCGGGTCAACGGCCTCTCCCAAGAGTGGCTGGACAGGGCCTCTGGCCACTGGACCCGTGTCCTCGTGGGATAAGGGCGAGAATTGAGGCAAACCTGCCTGGGGTCCAACTGACAGGCCACAGTGTCAGGCGGAGAAGAAATCAGTCAGGCCCTGCCTCGCCTGCAAATTACGGACCCAGGACCTAGGGGCAGCGGGACGGGAGGGACCTCTCCTAGCTGGACCCCTCACTCCCTCTGACTCAGTGACCCTCCAGAAGGTTCCCAGGGCTGTAAGTGGCAACAGGAGGCCCGTTTTTCTCTCACAGAGCTGCCGGTGGATTTGAACCACCAGAGAAGGGCCACGTTTGGGTTAGGAGCCCAGCTTGCTGTGGACTACGCCAGCCCCCCAAATCCTCTCAGCCTCCCCCGTTTCCCAAGGGTTTTGTGAGTCCTCCTTTCCCCACCAGGTAGGAGAGGCTGCGTGTCACCTGCCCAAACCCAAGCACACGGAGAAGCAAGTTGCTGGTACCCGACCCTCGCAGGGACAGAGGCCCCACCACTCCCCCGGGGGCAGCTTACCTGAGATGTCAGTGACCTTGACGGCCGTGGCCCGAGGAAACTTCTCCTTGAGGACCTGGGTTACTCTGAGCTCCCCCTCAGTCTGGGAGGCAAACATCCGCTGGACACGATGCAGAAGAGGGAACTGCTGCGAGGCAGAGGCAGGTCAGGGGGCCGTCACGGCTGAGGGGCCACCCCGCAGCCCACCTGCCACCTCCCCCCAGAGCTGCACCTCTCCTCCCCCCAGGATCAAGTTCCTACTTCTGCGGCTACTCCTCAAGTCGATTACACTATTTAGGACAAAACAACAAACCACACGCAGTATCTTTCCTGCGTGTGGACGACAGCCCACAGCCCCGGCTGTGGTTAAGCGCTCAGCTCTAACAGAAAGGCTGTCGGTTCCAAACTACCAGGTGCTCCACGGGACGAAGACAGGGCGGTCGGCTTCTGTGACGACTCAGCCTCGGGAACAGGGCAGCAGCTCTACCTTGGACTGCAGGGGCCTCCTGGAGGCCCAGGGGTAAGGATCTGTGCTGCCCACCCAAAGGCAGCTTTGCGGGAGAAAGAGGGGGGCAAACTCTTCCCATTCAATTTACTGCCTCTGAAAACCTGAGCGTCAGCCATGAATTGGTTCTGACATGAGGCTACAAGACACCAAAAACAACCATCAGCAAAAGACGGACTGTAACAACAGGCTGGAGCCTGTCAGAGACGGCGGGGACGGCGCAGGTGAGGGCCAGGCTCAGATCTGTTGCACAGTCAACTCGATGGCACCTCCCAACAACGTGAATCGGAATCAACGGGTCGACAGTGGGCTGGCCACATACAACACGGCCGTGCGCCATCTAGGGACGTCTGCATTCTCAGAGACAGATGTTCAGCATTATGACATACTATTCAACACACTGCCAGGCAGCAGACAACAAAAATGAGAAAAGGGGGGAAAAAAGAGAAACTCCACTTACATTAGAACCAACACAACACGGAGCTGGAATGGAATCTAATTAATTAATTAAAAGGGGAAACTTGTAACTCACTTTGACTCTGGAGACATGGCTGAAAGCCAGACTTAACAAAAGTTAACTCCCCATGATCATGTGACAGAGACCATCACTAGGAGTCCTATAAGGACAGCAACGTACCCAAGGGTGGGTCTGCTTAGAGGCAGAGATGGGCAAGAAGGCACACAGCTGTCCTTGGACAGGAGGCCCTGAGAGGCCAGAGGCCACCAGTGACCACGTGCCCTGCCTTTCATGCTTGATGAGCATGGCATGTCCTGCCCTTTGAGATTCCACCTGCGACTGACCTGCTGCTTGGTAAGCCAGTGACACGATCTACCTAGGCCAGTACCTATGGCGCTGAGGGTGATTCACGGTGACCCCCTTCTCAGAGCACAGCTGGGCTCCTTCAGGCCCTCGGATTGGTTTATCCTCCGGCTTCTTTACATTGACCATCTGTAATCCCCACCCCCCTTACACCCGGGGCACAATTCAACAGAATTCTATCACATCAAGAGAGAAGTAGCCTTATTTACTCTCAGATGACCCCTACAGGGCTCTCATGCTCCTGATGGACCAGGGCACAGCCACTACACTGCACACACTGCAGATAGAGACTGGGAATAGCTCGTGGCGACCCTGGGGAGCCGGGGACTGGGTGACGTGACCCTGGTCAGGAAAGATGCCAAACCGAGACTTTATAAAGGTGCTCCAGGTGTGAGCGGCTGGCGGGACAGCCACCAGGTACTGCTTGATGCACACTGTCACACACTGGGGTCAGCCGATCCTGCGTCAGATAACCTCCCAGCAACTTCTTGAAAACTCCCCTGATCGCAGGCTCACTCACCAGCTGGTCTGGAAGGTCAAGCCCGAGTCTGTCCCACCTTTGGCAAGCCTGTCGGTTCTGACCCCCAGCAGACCCTGTACGAGTTTTCTGAGGCCGTAAATCCCACGGGAGGAGACTGAACATGGGTCTCTCTCGAACCACCTGCCTTTGGGATGGCAGCGCTGCTCCCTGTCACTGGGCCATCAGGGGTGATGGGAAGAAAGGAGTCCGGGAAGAGTAAGAGCTCAGAACCTTGATAAACACGGCAGGAAAGCCGGCGGAAGGTCTGGCGTTGGGCTCAGAGAGCTGGATCGCGGGGCAAAACAGACACTGCTACGGTGGCTGCCCGCAAGGTCCCTGAAAGCAGGGCTTCCAAGGCCAGAGGCCACCCGAAGGTCGCTCGAGGTCAGCAGCACAAGTGTCCATGCTACGATCAGGCCGCGCGGGAGTGGAGGAAGGAGAAGGCGGAATGCACGCACGAGTGGTCAGGACTGGACAGGAGGGTGGCCCGCAGAGGGTCAGGGGGCAGACAGCGGTGCGGGCAGGGCCGGTGTGCTGGACGCCAGTGCCTCTCCCGGGGCCCACTGCCGGCAGATGTCAGGTGCGCGTGCCTCACCCCAGGACTCCGCTCCGCCCGGGGCCCGACACCCACACAGACCCCCGCTGCGGGGTCCGCCAAGTGAGGGAGGAAGGAGGACAAGCAGGGAGCGCGCCGAACTCCGAGCGGCGCCCCCAAGCCGCGGACGCAAACCCCGGACCCTCGGCAGCTCCTGCCCCTGCAGCCAGTGCCCCTGCCCCGCTTACCGCGCAGATCCTGCGGAGCAGAGGCGCTGCCGCGGCCGGGCCCCAAGCCGCCATGCCCGGCCGACGCGGCCCACCGCCCGAGGTCACCGTGCCGCCCGACAAGCGAGGACACGCGAAGAGAGGTCGCTAGCGCCCGCGAGCTCGCCCCCTGCCGCCCGGAGGTCGCAGGCTCGCCTTCGCCTCGCCCCTGCGAAGCAAGTCCCAGCCCAACCCCGCCCCCTACGCATAACTCCGCCCCGTGATCTGTGCCGGCCCCGCCCCTGCAACGTAAGTACAATTCTGCCCAGCCCCGACATAACCACGCCTCCACCTCGTAACCCCGCCCCATAATCTGCGCAGGCCCCGCCCCTGCTGGGGCCCTCAGTCCCCGCCCACCCGTCTCTCAGGAACATCAGCCGGGCATGCGCGCCACTGTGAACCTGTCACCGCAGACGTGGTCAGGGCCCGCCCTAGTGCCCTCGCTCGCCTGGCACTCAGCCGGCCGGCCGGGTTGGCTGCAGAAATATCACTTCGAATCCCCCATGCAGAGGAGGGCTTGTCTGGACCTGAACTTGGAGGCTATTTCAACGACCCAGAGAACGAGGATCTGCCCCAAAACGGATGCCTCGTTATGTGCCACTCATCTGGCTCTCATGCCACCTTCAGGACAACAGAATGAAGAACCGTGTTGTGACGCAATCCTTGGGGAAATCAATGCGACAGTAACTTTTATTTTTTTCCACCCAGATTAAAGCTATCTGTACTGTCTCTACTCACTATACGTTGTTACAGTAATTTAATACGCTTTGACGAAGTCAGTTTAGTTATGCATTCACCATATTTTAACTCAGTTCAAGTCCATTGTTGACCTGAAACTTGCGCATAAATTTTATTATACTTGTGCTTTGAGGGAGAGTTTACATAGCAAACTGGTTTTCCATTCAACAGTTCCTAATAGGCATTGATTGGCATTTCCCACATTACGACAGCACTCTTCCCACTCTTACCCTGTGATTCTCTTTTCCATCCATCCCTTCTCTGAGCAAGTTTTCCTTTCAGTCATTCCTGCCTTCTGAGCTTTACAGCTCAAAAGCTGCCCAAGATTGACTGTCCTGGGGAGCATGTAGCTGGTGTTACTGATTACTTTACAGGGCTAGTGTTTGGCTGTAAATTGGGAGGAGGAGGTAATTTCAGTCAGCTTGGTGGATTCCACCAGTCTATCGGATCAGCGAGCCTGGTCTTTTCATGATTTTGAGTTTTGCTCCACATTTTTCTCCTACATTACAGGGTTGTGCTGCTGTAAAACCTTTATAGAGTGGTCAGCTCAGCTGTGGTAGCTGCTGGACGCCGTCCACTCCGAGTCTTGGGCTCTTGGAGACTGAAGTTCATGCGACCCACAGATTCTCTGGGTGAATACTGTCACTTATCTCCACGCTTCTAGCTCCACCTCAGAGGCTGCTTGTTGACTGCACTGCTGACCCTACTGAACAATCAGCAGGCACGTGTCCACTTCTCCCTTTGGTCTTTAAGGTCCACGACAGGACCTTGCTTTAGTTATCTATGTATTCCAGCAGACAGGGGGACAAAAAGTGCATGCACCGCACAACCAGTGAGCAGAAGTACAGTGATGAAGAAATTCCAGTGGCCCACGTTTGAATCTTAGCTCTGACAAACAGCTCTGAAGGACACCAATCTTGGAGATTCCAAGTGGGTTCTTACGGTTCAGGTACAACCGAGGTGTGCACGATAGGTGTGCTCTTCCCCCTCCTGGGGTGATTCCTACTTTGCCTCCTCAGTTTCGTTTCTCCAGTGACTTGGAGAGGGAGCTCTGGGGCCCAGTATGAAGCAGCTGTGCTGCAGTTTGAACCCATCAGCCGCTCTCCAAGAAAGGCCAGGAAATAGCCTCCTGTGTGACCTGACTCTGAAAGCCGACTGGAGGGTGAGCTGTGAGCTGGTCCGACTCAATGGCACACAATAGTGACCCTGAGGGAGCTCTGGTGGCCTCGTGAGCAGATCTGCACTGTCAACCCAAAGTGGGCTGGAGGGTCAGCGGGGAGTCAGCACCTAACAAGTGCCTTTGTGCATGCAAATCTGTCAGAATAGACTTGCTTAGGTGTTTAAAGCCACCTGAGGTTTGGGGGTACAGTCTTCAAAGAAGTGAGCCATCCCTAAGCTACCCCTTTCCTCCGGCTACGTCAGGCTACGTGAAGGACTCAGCAACATAATCAGTTCAAGGCCTCACCTAAAGCCAGGTCCTTGAACCGTTCAGGTAGTTAGCATCACCAGCAAGCACCATACAGCTAGCCAATCTGCTGTACACTTTCTGCCCCAACAGGAAGTAACTGGACAGTGCAGGATGGGGCAGTGCTTCCTTCCACTGAACACAGGCTGCTGAGTCGGGGTTGAAAGCCCCTAACAAGGAAACAGTAACCGCGTCCTGTTCAAAGCTGGTGGCCGACCACACACCCTGTGGCTCTGCAGTGTCACCAACCGTCCGCTCTCACATCAGGCTGCCGAAACTTTCAGGAGGGGCGGAGGCAGGCCTTTCCGAGGGCAGCGAACATTCAATGCCGCGCCTGCCCGCGTGGCCGCTATCTGTGGGCTGGCCACAGCCGCAAATTTCCCACTGGAGTCTCAAAACCACAGGCGCCAGACTGGGCTGCTTCCACAACCAGTGCTGTCAAGTCTGCTGCGACTCTCAGCTGGTGTTCCAGCACATTTTCTGAGGCTGCCAAGTGCACAGGAAGAGAATGTGCCTTTCTTTGAGGGAGCAGCTGGTGGATTCAAACACCACACCGTACGCAATGCTTAGAACCCCACTTTTCTAGTAAGGCAATTCCTGAACAGTTCTAAAATCCTGTTTAAAATTGGTGGAGGGCTAAGGCAGCTGCACTCAGGGCTGTCTGCCCGCAAGGAAGGCTGCTTGATCAGAACATAGGTCAATACGATCTGCTTCCTACTCCGATGACCAAAGTTGTCAGCCGAATTAAAAAAGCCATAAAGGTTGTGAGTTATCTTAAAATGGCTTTACTGTCCAAAATGGCCTCCCTAGGCCTTTGTGTGTAGTCTCTTGGCTGGATGAGAACATGAAAACAGGTGGTGTGGTCTATCCATGAGCAGACTGGTCTGTTCTGCCATCCCACCAGGTTCATACTGCACAGGTTTGCCAACAGAAAAGGAGAATCTCAGTAGCAGCGAGGAAAACATAGCAGCGATTGCAGCCTGTGTCCTTGGGAGTGGACCTGGGAGAGAGAGAGAGAGAGAGAGAGAGAGAGAGAGAGAGACACACACACACACACACACACAGCCAGAGGCCTTCACCTGTACTTGGTGGAGGACTGAGGGCGGATGCCCTAACCCACAGGGCTGAAGAGCCAACACTGACCTAAAGCTGTGAGGCTGAATGTCAAAGGGCTGGCGAACACAGAGACACTATTCTGTCACCAACCTGAATCGCCTCCTGTTAACGTCCCCAATAAACCTCAGATGAGTCCGTGTGGCCACTGCAATCGATAAGCTGACCCAGTAGCAAGAATCGCAGAGAGGGGCGGCTGGTGTTAGAAGTGGTGGGTGTAGGCGTGGGAGATGGGGAGTATGTCTTACCTGGGGGAAAGCTGCGGGTGTTGTCAATGGGGAAGGCTATTCTTTGTGGAGTTAGGTGTCAGAAGACTCATCCCATGCTGCCTTCACACTTATCATCAAGTGGTCAGTCCACACTTTTGGACCATCTGGCATCTGTAAAGCCATTTTTCTGAGCTTCACCACCTCAAAGAAAAATCCATAAACAGCCTCCCTGCCAAGCACAAGCAGGTACTCATGAAAGGTGCCTGTGAAGTCCTCCACCCTGACCTGGGTGAGGCAGGTGGCCTTGGGCAGGAACTGTGGCAGCGCCCCCCAGTGGCCAGCAGGAATGGCACAGGTTGTTCCACACATGGTGGCCCACCAGTGAGGTAGGTACCTGCAGAAGAGCTGTGGAATGCTCTGGATGTTTTCTGGGTGTGAAGCTTCAAAGTCCAACAAGATTATTTGGGTTACTTGACAATTCTTTTTGTGAAGAAAAACATGGGATCAGGATGAGAGGAACAACCTGTGTTATGAGGATTACACAACCTTGATTATTAAACTGAGAAGGATTCAAATCGCTTGCTGGAGAAGATCAAAGACTATAGTCTTCAGTATGGATTGCATCTCAACATCAAGAAAACGAAAATCTTCAGCACCAGACCAATAGGCAACATCACGATAGATGGAGAAAGGATTGGGGTCGTCAACAATTTCCTGGGACCCACAATCAACACCCCTGGTATCAGCAGTCAGGAGATATATTGCTCTGGGCAAGTCCGCTGCCAGGGATGTCTCCAAATTACTATGCATCAATGATGCCAGTTTGAAACTAAGACGAGCCTGCTACAGGCCAGGATCTTTTCCATCACTCGTTACATCTGAGAGCCGGACAATGAATGAGGATGAAAAAAGAAGTGATGTTTTGAGCGGTGGTGTGAGAGCAGAGCCCTAACATGCTGTAGATGGCCAGAAGAACCTCCTCGGGGAGGCAAAGGTGATGAAGCGTCGTCTCACGTACTTTGGGCATGTTGCTCGAAGAGTACATGATGCTTGGATAGGTGGAGGTGAAGGAGAGGAAGACCTTTAATGAGGTGGCTTGACAGTGACTGCAGCAATGGGCACAAGGACGTCAGAGGGGAGGACGGTCCAGGATAGGACAGGGTTCCTCTGACAGGGTCGTCATGAGTTGTCCCAACACAGTGGCACCTACACCACCCCAGAGCGAGCTCTGGTTCCAAAGGCAGGAGGTTCCAATCCCCAAGCTGCTCTGTGCGGATTTGAGCCTATCTCCTCCATGCGATGTGTAGTAGACCTTGAAAACCTGCTGCAAGGCCAGCTGAGTGGGTTCCACATCACACAATGCACGCTCAACACGGCTGTCTGGGGAAGACGCTGGCTGTGTGAGGACATCTCAAGGTCAGACACTCAGTGAGCCAAATCTGTTCCATCAAACCCTCAACCAGGAACAAAGTGACGTGGATCACGAGATGGGTCAGCGCTGCGACCATCCGTCTGCACCCAGGATGAGTCTCAATGACCACAGTCGGGCACTGGTGCTTCTAAGAGGGAGAATCTTCACATTATACACTATTTAGTCACTTGGGAAATTCCTTTTCTTCTACAAGAGGAAAGAAGTATTTCTGCCACTGATTAGATGATAAACTTATTGATAAGGATTCCTAAACTTTATTACAAATCCACACACACACAAAATAAGAAATCCATGCAAACATCTAAAATAAACCACCTCACTGCCATGGATTCAATTCTAACAGCAAGAATGCAGGACAGGGCAGGATTGCCTTGCAGGGTTCCTGGGCTGGAAGCCTTTACAGAAGTACACAGCCACAGAGCTCTCCTGTGGAGCGGCTGGGGGGTTCAAACTGTGAACCTTTTGATTATCAGTGGAGTACTTTAACCATGGCACCACCAAAGCGCTAAAATCAAACACATTAAATAAACATAAGTATTGAGACTTGTATTTTAATAATTTTTTGTAATATACTTTATTCTGATGAAGTTATAAAAGTAGGTACAAAATACTTTTTTAAAAGTACATACAATTAACTGACTTAGAAAAATAGACCAAGCCCCTAAATGTTTAAAAATACAACATAAATTTTTATGTAAAGAACACTTAAAAATACTTTAGATAGTAACCAAAACTAACTTATGCAAACAATTTCTGAAGTCAACCAAATAGAGAATGCTGCCTATGAAGTCTACAGACTACGGTGGTAATCCATTTGGATTTATGGACTACTTGTTTGGGATTGATTCTGATAATGAGAGAAAATCAAGGTTAATTTCAACACAGTTGTTTCAATAAATTGACTGCTACCACAGGAATTATCTTCCCCATGATCGTCAAAAGTCTCATGGACTAAAAATATAAAAATGTAATGCAAAACACACCAAGACTGAAAGTAACTGTTCAAATAAGTTCATCAAAATCCTACAGTACTAAACCCAAACGCATTCAGTGAGCTGGGTCACAAATGGATGCTGGCCCTGGTGTGAGCCCTGAACGTCCGCCCGGGGTCTCACCACTGGGAAGCACCACGCAGGCCAGGGGCTAGCTCTACCACACCGTGACAGTGTGCTGAGAACCAATGACATTTCTGAGGTAAGGATGCTTGAATACCACTTCTAGGAGAACCTCACTTTTCAAAGGCCAAGAGAATAACTGGGAAGCCTCACCCATGTCTGCAAGAGTTAAAATCCCACAGACACTGCTGGTCTCACCCGAGCTTCTAGGAATTCCTGCCCTGTGTGATGTGTGGAGTCACGGTGAACGCGGACTGGCGTTTCTTGGATGAGCAGCCCAGGCAGACTCTGCCAGCCGGCAGCCCCGGAACATCACTGCACTCACAGTGAAGGAGGACACAGAAAGTGGGGTACGAGAGGGTGGGTACTCTTAAAAAAGTCTGTACACCACTGTCCAAAAAGGGGCTTTTATGTTTTAACCACATGGCCTAAAAATGACAGCACCACAGATGGACTGCCTAATTTAGTAAACGCTGTCTGCTCTGAATGGAATCACAAATGGGGGGGGGGAGTGGGGACGGGATGGGACAGGACAGAGATGCTGGACTGGGGAAAAGTGCTCAGTGTGGATTAGGGAACCCGCAGGAGCACTGACCAGAGCCTGTGGGGTGAATTACAGGGACAGGCACAAGCCGAGCACAGTGATGCTTCCACATCTCACCAGGTGGCCGGGGAAGCAGCTCAGAGGGTGCAGCTCAGAGGGTGCAGCCCTGGTCCACTCCCCCTTCCCTCCGGCCTCTCAAGGTGAACATAAACAATAACGCCAGTACTCCCGCACTCCCGGAGGGGGCACTGTGCATCAGGCCACACTGGCTTGGGAGCCAGCTAACGTTCTGACAGACAAAAAGAAAAAGGCATGTGATTCTGAATCTCAAATTACCAAGAGCCTTTCCCACTCCACTTGGTAACTATCTGTCTTTCCAACTGTTCCAAGATGTGACCATCTTTGGTGAACTGTGGGGCCTCGTAATGAGGAGGATGGTTTCCTCACTGATGGAAGATGGGTTGAGATGGAAAAACCCTGAGAATACCGACTCATTCCTTTCACTCAAAAAGCCCCAAACCAACCTAAGCCACCAGTCCTGCGTAGAGTTGCGAGCAGCCTGTAAACCTGAGAGGCATCTATAAACCTGATTGCTTTCCCTCAGCACCCAGCGTGAACATCAGAGTGGCAGACAGAGCTCTGGACAAGCTTAAAATAACAATTCATGGAATGTGTTATACAGTCCCCCATTTTCCAAAGTCATTATCCCATCCAAAGAGATGGAGGATCCCAGCCTAAGTTAGAAGAAATGTTTCATTTCCTTAAAATCCTGTATTTTTTTATTATTCTTTTTTTATTTATTTTAAATGAATTTTCTAAAGTTTCTTAAAGAAACTGAGCTATTACAGATAGAGCTGCTAAATTTTTTTCTTCATAGTCTAGTGAACAGTGAAATAAATAGCAAAAACTGCTATCAAAGTTGGCCTTTGTCAAATTCACCAAGTGTACTGCAAAAAGCTAAGCTCTAAAACACAAAATGTAGAAGAACATAAAGCTCTGTCAAGCTGCCAAGCCCTGCCTGCTTGAGCCTCAGCACATTTTAAACGTGGCTGGCTGGCACCTACCAGGACTATCTAGAGGCCAAATGAAAGGAAACAGTGCTGTTGGCATGAAAGGGAGAATAGTCCTTTGTCCCAATAGAAATTTAAAAACTCAACTTTTACTATTAAAACAAGATCCAGCCCCTATAGAGGTATAATCTATTCTTTCAACATAAATAGAAGATGATGACTTTTACGTAATCCTCCCATTTTGCCTCCTTCAAACACAGCAACACACACACAGGCGAACGGGGCACAAACCTTTGGCCCTGGTATCAACCGTGCACGCTCTCACAGCTGTCACCGTGGCTGCCTACGGTGTGCTCCCTCCCTGCGGCTAGAACCCGCGCAGTTCTGATGCTGAGCACACAGAATCCACCAGCCTGACAATCTCCACCTTACAGCCCACTGCTGCAGCCACGCGTCAATCCATCGAGTGACGGTCCTTCCTTTATGACTCTTACCTAACTCGCAAGTCACTGGAAAAACAGGAATATGTGGAAAAAACCAAAATAACTCAAGTATTTTATTTGCCTACCTGCAGACTGAAGGCCTTTGAAAATTAAAATGCATGGATACAATGGCTGTGAGACCAACATCTGTCATAATTTCTCCCAAGTTTTCTTCTTCCTGGCCAAAAGCTAAACGTGTTAAAATTAATCTGAATGAAGCACTTCAAAATAAATCTTCAAGGTCATCCTTAGAAGCAATAAACAAAATCGTTTGTTCCACACATAAACATCAATTTAAGTTTACGTGTTTAAATCCCAAATAAAGGTTAAAAAAAAAAGTATTTTAGAAATAACTCTGATTGCTTCCATTCCAAATATATGATTTAAACTGCACTTGTGGGATTTTGTAAAAATAAACATACATATGTCCTTATCTACAGAAACATGAGCATACAAACCTGAAGCCAGAAGGTTATCCAAAGTCACAAAAATGTCCTAAATATTAAGGAAACTTTAAAAAATGATGAACTATTTGTAAAACAAGCAGAATAAAACTGGTCTGATTGTGTTGTTAGGAAATTTGTTCTTGAACCTTGTTAATAAATTATCAGTAGAAACTCTTAATATCCCTTAAGCTGTCACTTGAAACAGAAGGAGTAATTTCTTCAGCAAAATTACATCAACTAATAAACTATGGGTTAGGCATCCATGATATAACCAACTGTGACAATGTAACAGTAACAGTTACTGTCACATGTCTTGAGGTTTTACTCCCCCTGAGGCCAGCCTACCTTTGGGACAATTTTACCAGGAGACAGAGACATGGATGTCTTTTTATCCTGTTGTTTTGAAAGTCTGTGCCACTAGTCTATAAGAGATTGTGTCTATAGGAGACAGCATCAGCCGCAGATGAAGCAAGAGCAGAACTGTGATCCGGAAGAAATCTTTATCTGTCTTTCGATCCAAGCTTCTCAATTAACTCCTGAAGAGGTGCCAACTCACGCCTGTCAATCAGATTAAACTCCTGAAGTCAGAAAAAGAAACACAGACTTACAAACAGATCAAGCGTCAAGACTGTTTAAAAAAAAAAACCTAACTTGGAGAAGGGTCTTCAAATCTCCTTTTCTGAAATTTAAAAAGATGAAAACCTAGTGTCTCGGAGTATTTAAGGCCAGGATCTTTATTCCTTTAAAAAACACAGGGGCCTTTAGATAAAGCAGCTGGACTTACCACTCCAGTCCTCACCGGGTGTTCTCCCTCCCGTGGTGTGTGGCACCGTGGGGACTGACTTGGTGCTGAGATGCGTTAGGCTCTGAGTGGCCCTGTGAACGGAAGACCTGAGCCCTGCCCTATCCTGACCATCCTCATCACCTCACTGCGGCAATCCCTGCGTTTTCCACCGTAAAACAAGCAGACGTCCTGGACCTCTAAAGTGAGACAGGAGCCCTGGTGGCCCAGTGGTAAGGAGTCAGGCTGCCAATCTCAAGGCACCCAGCTGGGATGCAGCAGCTGCTCCACACAAGATACTCGTGTGATTTACAGCCTCCGGAAGTGTCTGCTTGAGGGTCAGTTAAGAGCCACTGTTGACTAGACAGCAAATAACAACAAAGGTAGACTTGCAAAGCCTCTATTAGCTGGGGGTTTACCCCTTGACATGAGGACTCTTTTTAGTATTATAAATTACCTTTTTAACAGAGTATCACTCGGTCCTAAAGAGCAATATAGCCCCACCCCTGCTCAGGGACGATGAGCCCTGAAAACACAGCTGGTCATGAGAAGATAAAGGACCCACATTTTCACGCTGTTGAGTCTGTTCCCATGCCCTGTGACCCTACCAGACAGTGAGAGGCCACACAGGCTGCCAACACTGCAAATCGAAACGCAGGGAGATGCCACACCCTTCTCTCTGACAAGAGCTATGTAAGGAGTGATTGTTTAGTTAGCCGAGAGTTGGTTAGCTCAGGGCTTAATCAATGTGCCAAAAGGGCGGTCAAAGAAAGAACCAGAACAGGTGTGTCCGCAGCCACCAGGGTTGAGGGAGAACAGCTAAAGTGGTCACAGTTTGTGCAGGGCAATGGAAACATCTGAGAAGGTGAAGGTGACGCCTGAGCAGCGTGAAAAGCGCCACTCAACTGTGTGCGTGAGGACTGCAGAAACAGCAAGCATTCGGTCAGCTAGTACGTACAGGTCCAACTCCAAGAGTCTACAAGGCAAGAAACAGGCCCCGTTCCGTACTACCGTGTCCTAACCAGGGACGTGCGAGGGAAGCACTGCCTCTCTGCACTGATGGGGTGGGAGCAGGGAAAGGAAAGAGCCACACAGAAATGAGAAGCCTGTCTACACCTTACAGCCAATGGCTGGTGAAAAGCATCACCACGGGGGTAGGGGGTGGAAGACGGACACTCACCTGAACAAAGAAAATAAAGTGCTTAAACGAGGTGTTGAGATGGGCCTCCTCCTGAAGCTGCATCACGGAGTCAAAGTGCTGATGGTAAATGTGGGCGTAGACCCTGAAGAGACGCTTCAGAATCGTCTTTGCAACAGACATGAAGTTTTTGGGGAATGGGACACCTGTAAGCAGAGAGGCTGGGTTAGTCTCTAATCAAACGAGCGAGAGCTCAGACACCGGCATGAGCAGTGACGCCCGCCCCAGGTTTACAGACAGACAGACACAGGCTATGTCCCCACTGTGTGTGTATGATTAGTCAGGGTTGGTGAGTACGTGTGCGCTTGCCCACGCACACACACCCCACCCCACCCCCGAGCTGACCCTCCAGTGGGGTTTCAGACTACTGTAAATCATACAGGAAGAGCCAGGCCACCTTCTTCCTGCTGAACCTTTGGTGGCTTCAAACCACGAGAGGGGTGCAGTCCGTACAGACTACACCAACAGGAAAAACAAAACATGAATAAACACAGTTTTATTGTTTTAATATCAAAGAGTATCTAAGGTGAAATTCAACAGTATCTATTGTAAACAAAAATTCTTACTTCGTGTGACATGTAAGTTTAAATGACTCACTCATGTGTACACACGCATAAGAAACTCTCCTAAAGGCAAAAGAAAACCCCCAGCCAGGCGACTCTATTAGTAGAAGGTATCTTCTGAATACAATGGAATGCACCTGGAATTGAATGTTTCTTTTTTTTGAAGTATTGCTTTCATTCTGTGATGTGTCTACAAAGATGATAGCCAGGCAGACCCTGCGGTCGCCTGGGACAAGTCTCAGTAGGCAATCTGTGGCCTGCAACAACAGCAAGAGGGGAGACTTCCTGAGCAAGGCAGAGGGCACCTGCCCTCAGAGAAAACCAGCACCAGCTCAGAGGGGCCGGGGGAGGCGGGACCCTCCCCTCAGCAGTGGAGACGAGGACGTGGCTGGCTCTGTGCCAGAGAAGCCTGCTGCGACGACAAGCATCTCAACAAACGGGACCAAGACGGACAGAGTGAAGGAGAAGGCATTTCTAGCCTTACAGATATGGCTGGAGAACCTATTCTAGTAGGTTACACTACTCTTGAAACACTTCTCTGAAAAAAAGAAAAAAAAACAACAAAACAAAGAAATCCTCCCTAACGGAGAGAGGATTTCGTTGCGTTGTGTTGGTGTTAGCTCCCTATCCCCAGCCGTGGATCGATGCCTTTTCAAATGCATTCTGGAGCGTGTTGTGGTTGTTAGGTGCCATCTAGTCAAGGACTCGTAGTAACCCTGTGAACAGAAATCTGAACCTCGTCTTGTCCTGCACCATCCTCACACTTCCTATCACGCAGCAGTCACCGTGTCAATCCACTTGGTTGAGGGTCTTCCTCTCCTTCGCTGACCCTCCACCCTTCTCATCACGTCCCTCTCCAAGGACAAGCCCAAAGCATGCGAGGCAAAGCCTCATCATTCCTGCCTTCAAAGAGCACTCCGACTGCACCCTCTCCGAGACCTATCCTGGCCATCCACGGCATGTTCAGTGCTCTTCTCCAAGCCCACAGCTCAAAGGCCTCACTCCTTTTTCTCTCATCCTTATTCACTGTCCAGGTCTCAGATATACAGCTAGTAATCGGAAAGACTATGGCCTGAATCGGATGCACCTTAGTCCTCAAGCTGAGACTCCTCCTCCTCAATCATTCGGAAAGGTCTCTAACTTGCTCATATGCTTTTCTGGAGGCATTAGGAGTGTGAGTGGCTCTCCTACTTAGAGACTATAAATGTCTTTTTCCTCCGGTATACCCTAACCAAGGAGGACATCATTTTCTTTTGTTTAAGTAAACAGAATTTAATCTTTGTGCAGTTAAAAAGATGTAAATTCTAAATAATTTGCTATGGTGCCATCTCAAACCTGTACAGTGAGAGTTGTCAAGGGAATACTTTAATTTCCCAGAGAGAGAAAGCTAGTAAAATTCCTTCTCTCAGATGCTCAGAGCAAGAAATTCTCTACTGCAAAAGATAAAGCAGGGCTACGTATACTCAGGAAATAAGGCTAGATGGAATAGGGACCAGAAGAATCCGTGTGTCTCAATTGCTTTATGACTATATTTTTCTCATAAACAGCTTTTAGCCTAATTTATATGCTTTTAGATAAAGAGATTAATATTTCTGAAATGAAGACCTATCTTCAAAGGAGTACTCTTAAACTTGATATTAAGTTATAGTTTAATTGGCCAAGTGATTTGTTCTTCATGTTTAATGCTTATAATAAAAAGGTCTAAATTCCCACAACGGTATCTCAGGTTTAGAGGGAGTCACAGTGAAAACACTGAATTCCAATGCTCTACCAGGTTCCCAGCATCTTGCCTGTTCTCTGAAAAAATGCAAATACTTGGGGTCAAGGGGGTTGTGTCCTGGGGAAGGAAGCTGTTTCAGCTTGATTAGAATTTTTAAAAAATCAATTCCCCACCGAAGAGTTCTGTAAATCTTCTTAGAATAAGGAAAACCCCACACCTTAATTTATATAACTGCTCACTGATCTCCTTAAAGCAAAGCAACCCATGTTACAGCTGGAGAATGCAGCTGTTGTCAGGAAGTGCCAGGCTGACGCCTCTTAGCACCCTAATGAATGACAGACAGCATGGAATTCGCAAATACAAACTTCTACTTCATTCTGGGACAGCTTCCTGCTGCGAATTTCCATTGTCATCAAAGCAGAATCTGTATTTTCCTAAGATCCATGGAGAGTTAGGTGTAAGACTCACCTGGCAATGCTGCTAAACTGTAGTTGGAGTACCTGGGGTTGCTGTTAGGTGCCACTGAGATGACTCACACTGACCCTACGAACGTCCCAGCTGAATCCTGTCCTACCCTGTGCCATCCTCACCATCTCTGGCACACGCAAGCCCACTGATGTCTGTCCACTTGTTGAGGGCCTTCCTCTAGAGTCATGCACATTCTCAGCCGCTGGTCAAAGCAGAGTGAGTGTGAATCCCTCCATCCACACGGCTGTCCTCTGTAAGCACTGCATGTGAGAGACCCACGATTTTCCTGAATAAATCCTTCTCTGATCTCAGACTGGTGTTCAGTGGGAAAACACTACCCAATACACTGAACTTTGGTCTTTAGTGTATATAGCATATTTTTCATCTAACTTTTCTTTCAGTGCTTCACTTTAGAAAACTCATCTCATTGCCACTGAGTCGAGACAGTGAACAATGTAGGACTCGGCACTGAGCCCTACTAAGATCTACCCACACTGGACCAGGAGGGCAGTGGCAACTTGAAACGTGTGTGTGTGTGTGTGTGTGTGTGTGTGTGTGTATTGGGGGAGGAAAAGCTTAGCGAAAGGGGGTGTAACTGGCTGCATGATCCAATGCATGTCCTCGGTGTCAATGAACTAGCTGCTGGACTGTTATGCATTTCGTATATTCTCAACACAGAAGAGAAATTACAGTTTAAAAAAGAAATAAAAGGATATGTCCTGAATAGGATTTTAAAACTTCATACACCTCTACCAGATTCCTGGTTCATGCTGAGAGAGTAGAAAATCCACAGCACTTGCACAGACAGGAGGACATGAGAAGGACATGTACCCAGCACAGTGACCAGGACCAACACTGCTTGGTACTGCCCGGGAACGTCCAACTGCATAGACAGGAGGACACGAGAAGGATGTCTACCAGTCACCATGACCAACAGTGCTCGGTACTGCTCGATAGTGCCCACTGGTGCTAGACAAACACCACACCCCTCAGAAGAAGAGGGGAGACCAGCATTCCCTTCACATGTTGTGAATGAACCCCTAAGGAAACCAGCAAAGCCCATCCAAACCTGACAGAAACAAGGTGAGTCTCAGAGCCAATGGTGAATTGAAAGTGAGAACCCACGGCCTTACTATGTTCCAGTCACTGGCCAGGTGAAAACTAACACAAAGAAAAACAGAAAAGGCCGAGGAATAAATTGTAGGAACATGCGGGATTAACATAAACTAAACCACAGAACTTTACAAGAGGAACTAAGACTTCATAAATGCTATGAAGAAGTACGGTTTGTTAATGCAAGACGACTCAGTACTGTAGAACGACTAAGAATGGAATGTAATCAGCATAAAAATACTCAGTTTTATTTTTACCTTGACAAAGTCATTCTAAGTTCTCTGGAAGAACACATATTCCTGAATAACCATGAAAGAGGTGGTCATGGAATGATGACCAGCCCTGTAAGATGCTGGAACCACGTGGTCACAGCAGTGCAGAACTTCTGAAGTACAAGAGCAGATAAGAGACTGAAAGACGCTAAAACACATGACAATTTGGTGAACTGTTGTTGTTGTTGCTGTCAGTTGAAAGTGACCCACAGCTGCCCCTGAAGTGTTGTCCCAGGACATCCTTATCTGTCCTATGGAGAAGCTGGTGGGTTCAAACGGCACACCTGTAGAACTGCAGTGCAGTTTCTTAGCAGTAGGCCACCAGAGTTCCCTGAACATAGAACAGTCAGAATAAAAGAAAGCACTCAGCAAATTAAATGAGGGAAAAAAATTGTGAAAAACAAAAGACTTATGATTAGTAAAGGACATAATTTAGTACAAAAAAGGTTGTTGTTGTTGTTGTTATGTGCCGTCGAGTCCTTTCCGACTCATAGCGACCCTATGCACAACAGCCCTAAACCCTGCTCTATCCTGCGCCAACCGCACTGCCTCTGACAC